GTCGCGCCATCGTTTTCTTACCAATGAAGCCAAACAACCACGCCATTGAACTGAGAAACACACTATTCGACGACAGGTTTGTCTTCATGATTGAGTTCTTCAAGAACTGCATTCTACTACCAGCCCTGACCCTTGCAGACACCGGCATACCACTAAAGTACGTCCAACAGTACTGGCAAACATGTGAATTCCACCCCGACAGCCATGGAATAATGGGGGACATGGATGCCCCAAACGATATGATTTACTCGCTCAAAATTTCGCGGGCTAAAGTTTCTCGAGTTCTGTGCATTCCCACTCGACGGGAGCTTGGAATTGCCGAATATGACGAACCACCCACTACCGACGACATACTACGCTTCATTAAGATACTAGGTTACAATCGTGACCTGCGCAACGTCTCTGACTTCAAACGCCAATTCCTCCCGCCAATGTGGAACATGTTCTTCTCCATCCTGAACAGGGCCCTCACATGCAAGCTAGGGTCATTGGACCAAGGGAACATCAATATCATGACGATCATGTACGGGCTGTTCTTCAACCTCAACCTTGACTACGCCTTTCTCATCTACAATGAGATCCACTCAGCGGTAGTCAAGAAATGCAAACTCCAAGCCGCTGGCAAGCCCTTATCTGTTGTTCTATTCCCTCATTTCCTCGCCCTCTTCATAGGGGTCGCAATGAGGAAACATGGTCTACCAGCTAAATAACCATTCATTCCAGTCTACAAAATGCAAGGCCATCGACCCACCCTATCGAAGGAGGGTTACACCATCAACCACCCACTTTCAAGGGCCATGCTCAATGTCATTCCATCGACATCTGAGATCCGCCAAACCTATGAACGCTCTATGATATCCTAGGAACCGAGGGCAGCTACCCCAGAGCGACTAGAGCCGTCTCCAGAACCAAGCGAGGGAGCACAAGAGGCATCTTCATCGGATGATGAAGATGATGATGATGATGCTACTCATCGTGCCTCCCCCGGCCCTACTCAAACAATTCCTCCACCCACTTCCCAAAGGGCAACCACCACATCTACCCCTCGCGATCAAAGCCAAAGGGGTATTGAACAAGGACGACCCAGTCCAATCCCTACCCAAGCCAGCCATCCAGAGGCCATTCTTCGGGCCTCTAGAGATGAATCAGCTGAGAAACCCCATATTCCATCACCCCTCTACCAACAGAGAGGTGATGAAGAAATAACAGCCCCTTCGCCTCAAGGCTCGACACAATCTATCACACAGATAGAAGCATGTGTTGCTTCTGACATTGATACACCCCAAGATCGTTCAGAGCAATCTTCCTTTCCTGCACATCCCCCTTCGATATTTGATCTACCGAAGAGGACACACATTTGCTTCACTTACCTGGCCTCTGAAGCCGAGGAAGAGGAAGTCGATGCAGCAACATCGCGAGATAGCTCCTCTCTTGAGGGCTATCAAGGACACAATAGAAGTCCTTCACGGCCTACATTTTCACAAGGCAATGAAGGTGCCTCAGGAGCAGAGGCAAAACCTGCAGCATCCGTTGCTGCAGGGGTTATCCCCATTGCGGACCTGGTCACAAAGGCCGAGTTCCAAGCCTTTGTTGACTCAGTTATGCGGTCCCTGGAAGACCTTAAACTCATCATACAAGGGATTGTTGACAACCCACCATCAACCGATAACTCCAACCTTCAACAATACCTTGCCATCCTTCAACGACACCTCTCCCAACTTGAAACCCAAACCCGAGACAATACAACATGTTTCCAAATGCTCCAGCAAACCATCACCCAACACCACAACACCGCATCCTCCCTTGCCACCCAAAGAAACCAAACACTCATCCACTCCATCGCCACCCTCACGGCCCAGGCAACTGAGGCCGATGAGAACCTTACCTACATAACTACCCAACTAAACACCATCGTCCAAAACCTTAACACCCTACCAACCACCATCATTTCCCAAATTCCTCCCCAAGCCCCACCTCAAACCACTTCATCAATCGATGAAGCCCTTGCCTCTCTTACCCACCAAATGGCCACCATACAAACCACCCTCACCCAACTCCCGGCCACAATACTAGCCCAAATCCCCCAGCCTACTCCACCCCCACCTCCCTCTGCAGGCCCATCCTACGATGAAGCCTTCACCTCCTTCACTACAGAGGTGAGAAATCTCATAGCCAACCTTCCCATTCCTCCATCTACATCCACCACCACCTTCGTGCCACCACAAGCCTCATCATCAAGCACGAAGTTCGCCACTAGAGCCGACCTAAGGGCTCTGTCCAAGGCACTTGTCTCATCCTTTAATGAGATAAGTGCCAAATTCGTCCATCGCACTATTCAACCAACTAGGTTTTTCTCCCAGAACCTGGCTGATGAACAAAGGCGCACCACTTCTCTCCTTCACACGATGGAGGAGAGCCGAAGACAAGCATCCCTGAAGGCGTATCTTGCATCCTTCAGGAAGGAGAAAAAGAAGAAGAGGAGTAGAGCCTCGTACTTTAGCAGCCACCCGCAAAAGAGACCCCGACATGAGGACCCAGACCCCGATGATCAAGGTCTTGGACCTCATGAGGGGGAGGATCAGACCGTGGCTGCTCAGCCAATGGAATCCGCTGCACCACCACCACCACCACCACAAACACAAGAACAACCACCACCCACAACCGAAGGAACCCAAGCAAGGGAACCAGAGGTTCAGCTCTCTGAAGATGTACAAAATGTACATGTTCCCTTCGCTACTACCCAAGAACCAATCGTGTTGAGTTCCTCAACCGATGAAAATCCAACCTCCCCACCTTTTACTCCATCACCAACACCAAACCTACCCTTAACTCCTTCACCAACCCCTCGCACCACAGAACCCTTCACCACCTTATCCATACAACCAGAACCAACAATAATCCAACCTTCCTCACCCCAACAATCTCAAACCCAAACAGAACCCCATGAACCAGAAACCACCCATTCTGAACCAACCCAAGCTGAACCAACCCAACAAGAAACCATACCTTCACCAACCCATACACAACCCTTAACCCAACCAACCATGGTGCAAGCGAATATTCCCTCTTCGTCTAGGCAACCTTCGCAGAGCCTAGTCGATGAAATTATTCAGAACATGGAGTCGCTGCAGAGACGTCCAGAGTTGCACCCATGGAACCCATAATGATGGAAAATATCCATCAATACTTGTATCATGACCGCGATCAAAGTTTGACCCTCAATCCTCTGATTCTATCGCCAGAGTCCATGGACCTCCTACACCATAGGTTTATTAGACAGACCATCCAAGCACCACAGGCTGTTTTCTCAAACGATGGGATAAGAAGGGTTATGGATCTAAAAGTGAGGACCTTTGCCAATAGAGCCATAAGATATATCGACTACACAGTGGAAAGAGCACATGGTCAAATCAGCGTGTTCAACGAAAATGACCTCATCACCCTCAATCCCTATGACTTGATTGAACTTTATGCATATACGGCTCAGCAACAGGATCATGGCATCAAATTTGGGATGGCGAACAGAGCGGTTGTGAAGACAATGGAGACCCTGGTAAAGCATCAAGCCAAAAGTGATTTTGAAATTGCTCTTCGCTTAGGCATTGAAAGACTCTCCTGCGCTTCACCAAATGAAGACTTCCCTGGCCTGCAGTAGAAAAGATCTGCCTCAGTCTTAACTCAACCCGAGCTTGGACTTGTCTTCAAGAATGAGTTCGGGGTAAAGAAATTCTTCAGATTGACTGAAGCCTTCAAGTATTCAAACGATACACTTGAGTGGTTTCAGAAGGTCATCAGAGAAAGAGTTGGTAGATCCCAATTGCCAAGAGAAGATGGGAATCAACTCATTCATGAGATATCAACAGTCATCGGCTATCGAAGGCTTCTGCGCTTCTGGGATATATCTCAAGGTAGATCATGATGAGTTGTAAATTATTTCCTTAAAAATGATGTCTTTTGTTTCCAGTATTATAAGAATTCATCATCCATTGAAAATTTGGAATTTGATGTTTTTCTTTAGATTAGTCTCTGTTCTTCA